GGGGTCTTCAGTGCGCCTCTCCGGCAAGGCGAGAAGTAGGCAAGGGGTAGACAAGACGACTCAAACCAATCTCGTCTAGTATTTAGACCCCAGACGGTTGTAAATCGTAATAAACGAAAATGCCACAGCCCTACTTTCAGCGATGTGTTCATCCGTGTTTAAAGGACACTTCTTCCTAAAATCCAAGAACAGGGTTCTTACTATTTTAGAGTATCGGGAGCAGAAAAGATTGTACACGGAACATTGTATCTTTGAAATGAAGTAAATTGCGTTTAATTATTAAAGGAAATGTTTATTTTTATTTGACTCGTTTCCTCCAGCCAAGGAATCTCCTTCAAAATAAGGTAAACACTTCCTGCAGCAGGAGAGTATTTTCTTCCTTGTACACTGAGACTGGGGCCACTGTGTCTAAGTTCTTTTTTAGCGACCTGGATGTTGGCTCAGCAGAAATGAGAAAGCGAGCGCACATAGAGCTATGCGCCATCGTTTCCCCCGGGAAAAGACTTACACGTTAGACGTAGAGTTGTGTGCGCGAGTTTACATGTGTCTCAACTTTCGCTTCCGCTGATGTCTTGCGGCTGCGGTGGTGTCGCACCTCGGCGCTCAACACCATGGCGTGGGTGCGCTGGCTGCCGGAACCACAGCTTCCGCTCGCGTCGCGGGCTGAGGCCGGCGCGGGATGGATCGCAAGTGTCACCGGAGGGAACAGATAGGGGAATGATTCGGCGGAATATAAAAGTGCGGAAGGAGATGGCGGAGAAAATTGGGTGGAGGCGCGAGACCCAGCGGCGACACCCCGGCGTGGCCGAGGCGGGGGTGGCTGATGGAAACATAACAGCGGGGTTACGGTGAAACAAGCGCGGAATGGTGGTGCTGCGAGCCGCGTGGCCCAGAGTTGTGGCCGCGGAAATAACCTCTTAGTCGTCAATGGCGCTGGGTGGCCCTGCAGCCTTTGAGATGTTGCCCCAGCGGATTCAATCGGGGCGGATAAACTGCAGCCGGGATTGATACGCACCACCTGCGTAAAAAAAAACTAGGGAATTTCCAATTCATGTTCTTTTTTCCGGCGTTCTTCTTCCGTATTCATACCGCTTTGTTACCACTTTGCGTTTAAAAAGGTTATTATTGTACGGTTCCAATCTCTTTACTTCGAAACAAACAAACATGGCACAAAGCTTTTATAATTATTTTCTTATTATCTTACTGGTATGCTGGAGATTTCTTATCTTTTATTGAGCAGAACACACTGGCCCGTCTTCGTTCGGTCCCTAACCCTAGTATTCATATCTGCGCTGTAGGCCAAGTCCGTCAACGTCTCTCCAGGTCATGGCTGGATGCCAAAGGATCAGGCTGTGGGCTTCCTCGAGCCCGTCTCCCCCTTTTTATCGCCGTGTCATCGAATGTCGGTCAGACGAAGGGTTTACAGTATTTTGTCAGGTCACAACAAAAATCCCAGCTTGGCTTAGCTTTGGGCTTGTCGAACTCTATCGTGCTCGCTCGATATTTCTTTAAGTCATTCAATCAACTTTTTACTGAACAATTAATTTTGTTCCGATGCCATGCGCGTGGAAAGTTTAAGTCACACACACACACAAAAAAAAAAACTTTTCTCAGTTCTTGTACGGCGCCTTTAAAATTTTGAGATCAACGTCCTTCGGTTTTAGGAAAAAAATACGCTCCAACCAAGTAAAGTGGTGGTCCATGCGCGCCGTTCTTTCTTTCTTTCTTCTTGCTACACTCACCGGATGCAAGTGGAGGTGCAGGCTTGCTTGGCTTTACGTCGCACACCGAGGCGCCTTACGGCCCCGTGCGAATATGTAACCCATCCGCATGCTTGCACCGCATCGAGTATAACCACAAGAAAGAACGGCGTTGATCGACCACCCTGCACTTTGTTTAGAGCGTGATTTGGGATAGAGGTAAGAACATTTGTATCGAAAATTTTAGGCGGGAAACCCTTAATCATGGGCAAAGTTTGTTGTGCACTTTATTACCTCCTTTTCAAATGCATTAAAAATTAGCCCTTGAAGGAATTCTACAAAACTGCCCAAAAGTAGAACCTTTGGAAATCGCCGTAACTTTCATTAAAATTCCCCTCCCTTTAAAAGGCATCAAGCCTTTGCTTTTCCAGTGTGTTTGGTTGGTTGAACACATGGTTCATCAGTGTAACATGGCGCGTGTATCCGCGTGGTCTCCGCCCGGCTCCCTGGCGGTCGTCAAGGCCGGGGCAGCAGTACGCTTTGCGCCCGGGGCGGGGCGTAGTGGGGGCGGGCGGGGGTGGCGGAGCGCGCGAGCAGAGCAGAGCGTCGTTAATTACTCAACGCCAGCAAATCGTAGCTACGCCCCCGCCCCTCCCTCTCACTCAGTCTCGCTCGTTCGTCTCCTCTGGACTTCACCGCTCGGGACCGATATTTTTTCCACCCCTTTTCCCAGGATGATACTTCGTGCATCCCCGCAACCAAACAGGGATGCCGGCTGCCTCTCTCGCTCTCCTCATCCCTCTGACAAATCAAGCCTAGTGTTTTAAAAATACCGGTGGAGTTCAAAGTGGACTTTACGTTAAGTACGGTATAGTACGGTAAAGTGCGATAAAGTTAGTAAAGTTTGATTTTAAAGTAATTCAGGCAAAGTTTATATTTCTTAATGCAATATGAGGCTTTAGGGGTGCAAAATATCGAAAAATTAGCACTGTATCATTGAAAACAGAATACTTTTAATAAATACTGCAATGTGGAGCTTAAGTCCGAAAGATCCTTCGAGTACTCATTCAACCCCGTTGTCTGCTTGAACTGAAGGTTTAGCCCTGAAATGTGCACAATTAAACGTAATGTGTTCCACCACAGTGAATAAAAGTTCCTTGAATTTCAAGATGGATGTCAATGGCGTTCTGCATATTATATCCAAGAACGGGTCTTGAAATTTAAGGAACTCTTTTACCGAAACCCGTAAGAGTTTAACTCGCAGTTGCGCACATAGTTTTGTTTACCGGCTGCTTGGGCTTACCTGATTTGTCAGTAAGCGCCGGGCCCCCTCCCTTCTACCCTGCCTGGTCTGGGGTCGTCTTCCCCACCAGGGAGCTGCCTTCCCAGGCATTTATTTCTGAAATGCCCTTTGCCTGCGCCTCGACAGCTGGACAAATGCGGACAGAGTGGGTGCGGAGCGACGCCGAAGGGTCAGCGAGCCGCCCGAATTACTGCAAATATCGACGGGGTGAAATATGGCCCCGGATGGGGCAGGGCGACTGCGCGCGTGTGGTTTGAACGCCCCCCCCCCCATTTCTTCCTTCTGAACAAGAGCTTTCGCCGTGGGCCCCTTCGTGCCGAAATCTGACAAGAGTTCGCTTTTCAAGGAGCTCGTCTGCGAGGTCGTGCGAGGGCTTACTCGATCTTCGTTTCGCACGTCGGCCGAGGGAACCAGTCAATAGATAGCTTTCTTGTGACGCGGACGTTGCTGGAAAGTGCTCCGACCGGGCAGTCGTGGAGTGCGGTCAGCGCAGCCGATATCCCGAGGACCATTTTTCTCTCGATTGGGAAATAGTACTTTGCAACCGTATATCATATCGTTCGTTACAAACTGGTTTTCCTCAATTATCGTAGTTCAAGTAACACAGGTTACCAAAAACATGTGCTGCTGGAAAAATGTCTAAATGAAGGAATTGGGTATCGCTCAGTTTTTGTTATATGGATGATGATAATAGCTGTCGAACCAATGACGACTGAAACTGGCCTCTCCTGATACATCATAATGTTCGCTGTCAGTCTGGTTTATAGTCATTACCATGTGATATATGAGGGACCCCTCCAAGCGCCGCTAGCGCTTTTGTGGGTCCCTCCATAAATTCCATTGATTCTCTTGTCCTGCAGCCGGAGAACACCCTAACTGCAACGCTACCGCCATACGTCTTGGATTAGAGGAAGATGGATACGGATATGTGCTGTAACTGATAGCAACACTGCAATAAGCCTATCCTATCAGGCAAAACGAACTCTACTTTATAACAGATTTTAAATTCAATACATGTTATGACAAACATCCAATTTTAAGTTGAAATAAAATTTAAATTGTAAATTGATCATAGCTGTCAAATATTTACGCACGGGCTGGAATAATTGTCTGCGTCAAATTTCGGAATATAACCGTTAATTTGAAGTATTTCTGTTTGTAACGACATACATGACAATAGTTTTCTTTACAGTGATTATTTTGTCACCTCTTGTACTGCTGGTTTTGAAGCAATGCTCAACCATTCAACTGCCACTTATTCTGTTTCAGGTGTCTTGGGTGCTGCGCAAGCCTAGCGAGGACTCGCTGCGCCTTCTAACCGTCGGCCAGATGACGTACTCTGGTGACGCGAGGCACGCCGTCGAGTTCCTCTACCCGAACAACTGGCGCCTTATAGTGAAGAACGTGACCAAGGCGGACGAGGGGACGTACGAGTGCCAGATCTCGACGCACCCGCCCAAACTCATCCGGACGCACCTCCTCGTCAACGGTGAGGCGTCCTCTCCTGCTTTGCCCTAATCGTTGGAGAGAGGGGAAATGGGGGGGGGGTCAGCACTTCCCAGCCCAGCAGCATCGCTTGAGGCTGCCGTTCGAGAGGCGGGCCACGCCGTGGTCGCGTCCCTTTAAGGTTTTCTTCGCCGTGAGTTGGGAACGAGGAGGCGGGCGTCCTAGAACACCCCGTGGGAGGTGAAGTGGGGAGGGGGCACTGCCTCAGCTTCTGCCCGCTCGCAGCCCTCCTCTTGCTCCCCTTCGGCCCTCTCCCACGCGTCCTCACGGGGTTCAATGGAGTCGCCGCGACGTGGCGAACATTCCGATAGGTGCGAGTCGGTCA